GCCCAGCCATAAAACTCTACCTCTCATATAAAATAAAACACTAATTCGAATATTGTAATAAAATATTTGGATAATTTTTGTAGATTTGTGATAATGAAGAAAAAAAATTATAGAAATTAAAATCTTTTTAAATATATGAAATTAATCTGTGTCGATTATTTAAAAATTTTAGTAACAAATACTGGTGAACAGATGAAATCTTGAATGATTCTCGGTATGTTGTTTTCCCTATTTTCCGTTCTTATTTTTATGTTCAAGGTGTGTTTGTCCTATTAATATTATTTTAAAGAAAATAAATATCGATGGTCATCGGATTTTCATAGGCTATTAATCTTTCATCTGCTTCGAATGAGATCGAAAACAGAATAAACTTCTTTGTCGGAGAAAACTCGCCCAACTTGGCAAACTTTCTGGCACAAACAGCATCTTCGTTTTCCTTGTACGGCTGGCTGTTTTCCTTTCAGAAAATAAAACAGTGCAAGAAAACATACGTAAATATTTTAGTCTCAACACGTCGAATCATGTGGTACACCATGGTTTATTTTTATCTAAGTTAAAACTTGAGTTTCGTTTGCTTTCTTGGGACTTAAATCATCATCTTTTCTAAAACTTGTCTAGCCACTTCTGCACCACCTGCTTACTAATAGCAAGTCCACATTTTTTGTTTGTTTGACGAAGTTGTAAGTTTAAATTGAATCCTGCATCGCAAACCCAATTGACGAGAGTAGAGCTTGAAATCCATCGGTTCCAAAAGTGCAACGCAATCTGGTGCGAATCGATTATTCACCAACAAAAAAAGACGTACGGCGCCAACTCAGTGAATTATTTAATATCAGCCAATCGATCGGGACGGCTGTAAAAACTGCAGTCACTTATTGGATAATTACCCGGTATGATAGACAAACCGGCTCTGTGCCGAATCAGGAAAACATTGGTAAAACTTGAAACTTGAACTTCGGACTTAATATTTAGGGCCGTTTACTACAAACCTTCATTAAAAATACAGCGTTGCGCAAAACTGCTGGCAAGTTCAAACCTGTTGACGACATTGAATTCTTCAAAATAGCCGGAAACGTTCGTATTTCGTGGCAGCTAGAAGTTGAAACGGACCAGTTCCTGGACATCCTCAATGAATATTCATTCGCTTTCACTTCTCTTTATAATTAACCCTCTGTTTCGGATTTATCCCTTTTTATAGAAAGAAAAAAAGGGACTAATCTCCCTGCATGTTGAATTCTTGAGATAGCGTCTTTAAAACGTTCGCACGAAGGTCAGCAATGCTTCCGGCTGCAATTGACCTTAGAAATGATAAAGATAGACACAAATCGCCTGAGAACTGGTTCCGTCCATTTTATTCATTTAAACAATTGTTTATTACCAAATTAATATTCTAACAAAGAGATTTTTGAAAAGACTTTTTTTTAATTCTCGTATGAGAGAAAAGTTGTTAAAATCTTCTTGACTAAAGTTATTATTTTTTTTAATAATTACAGTCAGTCGGGCTAATATTATTTTATTTTTAATAGAATCATTTTAACTAACTAATACATAGATTCGCAAACGCCTTGTTCGTATGTCTGAGTCTGTACATTAGTTTGTGTACACCGAAACCAACAAATGTGTACACTCAAATTAAAAACAATTAAACAACATTGGGCGTACACACCAACAAACAGAGAGAGAGGAGAGGTAGAGAGAGGAAGGGAGGAGAGGTAGAGAGAGAAAGAGAGAGAGAGAGATTGTGAGTGAGTGAGAGAAGAGAGAAAAAAGCAAGAGCGAAAGACAGAGAGAGAGTGAGAGAGGGAGAAGGAAAGAGAGTGAGTGAAGAGAAAAAAGAAAAAGAGAGAGTGAGAGTGAGAAAGAAAGAGAAAGACAGAGAGAGTGAGTGAAAAGAAAAAAAGAAAAAGTGAGCTTGAGAGAAACAAAGAGAAAGACAGAGAATAGAGTAGAAAGAGAAGGAGAGAGAGTGAGTGAAAAGAAAAAGTGAGAGAGTGAGAAAGAAAGAGAAAGACAGAGAAGAGAGTAGACAGAGAAGGAAAGAGAGTGAGTGAAGAGAAAAAAGTGAAAGAGTGAGAAAGAAAGAGAAAGGCAGAAGAGAGTGAGAGAGAGAAGGAAAGAGAGTGAGTGAAGAGAAGAGTGAGAAAGAAAGAGAAAGGCAGAAGAGAGTGAGAGAGAGAAGGAAAGAGAGTGAGTGAAGAGAAAAAGAGAGAGAGAGAGTGAGAAAGACAGAGAAGAGAATGAGAGAGAGAAGGAAGAGTGTGAGTGAAGAGAAAAAAGAGAACGAGACGGAGAAAGAAAAGAGGTAGAGCGAGGGGGGAAAGAAAGAGAACGAGACGGAGAAAGAAAAGAGGTACAGTGAGAGACAGCGATAGTGGGTATGTTTATTAAAGTTCCTTTTATGATTTTAAATTTTATTACTGGCAAGGCACTCTATAAAATTAATTAGAATTACAATATAATCTTTTACAAGATGAAGAAAGTGGAACAAACAGTTTGAATATTGAATAAACGAGATGACATCTGTTCATCCTTTTACACTGATTAGATAACCGGCATTAATTTCCTCCAAACAGCCCTTCAGCCACAATTGACCAACCCCAAGTATAAAAATACTTGTTGAACACTTCCAAACGTTTTGACGGCGCCTTGATCGAACAGTTGTCCGCCTGTTCTCGCAGCTATAGTTGGACGGGTATCGATCCTGTTCGCCCAAACTTGAAAGCAAGACTGGACAACACACTTCACAGGCTTATGGGTCAAATAGCATGTAAAAGCGAGAAAAGCGGACCAGAAGCGCTCTATTTTTGTCCAGCTTCGTCCTAATCGTTAGACGCCTAACATATTATCCAGTAAACTTAACATTTTACAAGAAAATGAAAAGATTTTTTATCAAGAATGAAATATTTTTGCTGTGGAATTCCGTCATAAGTAAAATAGAGGAAAACTCAATTGTTATTTAAATCTAGAAGTATATTAGCGAAGCGTCTTAAATTGCCAATATTTATAAGCTTATTGTAAAGTTTTATTTTTTAATATTTACTCTCTCTCTCTCTATCTATCTAGTGATCCTACAGGAAACAAAATTGAGTTGATTTCCTCATTGAGTTTTGACAATAAACACGATTTTTAGAGTAGTTGTTTTGCAGAACTTTAAATTAAACTTCGCTTTTAGACTTTTCAGCGAAGTATGGATGTCGAGAGGATGTTCTACTCGACTGCACAACCCTTGTTCTCCCTTGTAGCCTCTTCATGGTAACAAAACTACTTGTCTCCTCGCAAAATCTGGGTCACGGTTTCAAATTAAAAACGCGCGACTTTTCGTTAAAGCACTTTTTAAAATAATAATAATTATTTTGTATGACAAATCTTTCAGGAGGTTTCCAACAATAGAAAATGCTAACCAAATGGCAGCGAAAAATCCAGATCTTATCTCAAAAAGTATACAAACAATTACAATAACTTTGCCTGTACCTCTTATGAATAATTATTTTGTTTATTTTTTTTTAGTTTACAGTATGACTATTAAAATACAGGAAGAACGAAAACTAAATGATCAGGGGTGATCGAACTGCTGACAGACAGACCAATAAAATCATGTTAGCCCAAACCTAAGCTCCTTTGTAAAAATGTGTAACAACTTAAATAATGATGGCTACAAATACCTTTGGTGTGGATTAAAGTGCATTTTGTTAATTTAGGAAATAAGGAAACGGACAAATTATCCTAAAAAAACTTTCTCGGAACAACAGTCATGCCTATTAGAAACATAGTTTGGTGACTGGAAGTTTTGGTGCCCTGACAACGGCCGGTGTAGTTGCGAGGTGTGTAGAGCCGATGGTTGAGGCCGCGGGACTGTGTGAGCCGTTGGTAGAAGTCCGTGACCGATAGAGTCATTGACTGAAGTCCCGATAAAGTCATTGACTGAAGTCCGGGACCGTGCAAATAGTGAGTTGGTCGACTCCGCAGCAGTTGAACAGTTGAAGGGACTCTGGTGCAGCAGATAGCTGAGTGCAGCAGTTTACCTGTGGCCAAGTCGGCTGTGTGAGAGGGCAAGTTTGATGCTATTACTGCGATTGCCCTTGTTGTCGTTGTCAGTACTCCATTAGTGAATGTTGAGATTGGTCGGGGAGATGAGTCTGAAGTCAGTGGGGCAGTGCATGGTTCCACTCTCATTTGCTGCAGAATGGATTGGGAGACCATTCTAAAACTGGTGGTGACACCAAGCGAGTGCCGTGGTAAATGCAGGTGGCCACTGCACAAACATTCAAATTCACTGTGCAGCATATATCAATAAAATGGGCCAGAGGTATAATCAGTAGTACGCCATCCGTAGTATTATGGAAGACCTACATATTACTAGCTTGTAAAAACAAACACTCCTGAGATAAAGCCCAATTGGCTAGAAAACTCCCTCAGCTGGATTCTTAATGAGACATCTTCGACATCGGCGAAGAGTTCTAAAATTATTGTTTGAGTTTGTGATGATGATAATGATGACAATGGGATGCTAGGAAATGGGGGTTTTACCTCCCAAAGCACTGAACTAAATTACTGTATTCGAAGATATATTTTATTCACTGCATAACAATAGATTTTTCAATTTTATATCGCCAGATGTCACTGCATCGATTCAGCTTTCTACTACTATTAACTTCACTATCTGCTGCTGCTACAAGGAAACACAAATCGTTCACAGGCTTTTTTTACAAAATGCGCCCTTACCATAAATACGGGGTGTTTTATCTGTCGATAAAAAGACTATTTTGAATGTCGTGTTAATGTCAAACCTTATTTAATAAAAGGAAAAGAGGACGTTACGTACACTTTTTCCAGAAAACCTTCGGTTCAATGTCAATGAAAGGTCCCTGCTCTTGTCCTAAACTCATTGACATTAGAGACAGTATACAATATTTCTTTGTTTATTATTGCCTAAAGAAAGAAAATTTTGTTTAAAATATTTAATAATGGGACAAACACTAAATTGAAATTTTATTTTTCAGGTTGGTGTGATGATACAACTGTCGGACCCATGTTTATCAAGGAACCACCGAATCGTGTGGATTTTTCGAACACAACAGGAACAGTCATCGAATGCTCTGCCCGAGGTAATCCGACTCCGGACATTATTTGGATTCGATCTGATGGAACTGCGGTTGGCGATGTCCCTGGATTGCGACAGGTGAAAACATATTTTTATTCTTATTCATCGACTTGTAACTCTCTTCGATATAATTTGTGTACAAAAAGGACCACTTCACTACAAAATATCAATGCTTTTCTCGATTTAATATAAACTAAAATTATTATTCCAAACATAGCGCATTGATCCACTATTAGCCATATTCAGGAAGTTGCTCGATTCCACGCTGGCACTATGGTAGTCGACTTCAGCAAAATTGTTATATTTTTTATTGAATAAAGAGGATCGTACCATGTAATCTCAACAAGGTCTGGACTATACATGATCCCATGAAGACCTTGCAACTCTTTTCCTTGGTCCGATAGTTGAGTATGGCCGAGACTTATCCTGCTAGAAAACGTCTTTACGGTTGAATAAAAACTGTGATACTTCTACGTTCATTCTTTGTAATTGTTTTCTTTAAAATTCAGAAAAAATCACATGTCTCTTGAAGAAAGTGGATCGAACCAATCATCTAACGGATCAAGGCTAGTAGTGGCATAGATGGTTACATACCAAAACTACCAGTAACCATGTATGATAGGTTCCACGAAGATCTATGTTTTCCTTGCTCCGATGGTTAAAACTCGACCTTGATCAGAAGATAATGCTGTAAAATTTCGCGTTCATTCTTTCTTACGGTTTGCTTTAAAGTTCAGAGTTAATAGAACATCCTTCCATCAGGAACAATCTCGTGATAAATAACTTCTTTATAGATAAGCAAATGATTGTTTTTTACATTGGATCCTTAAAGTAACTGGAAAACCTGTTTTACCGCAATCGTCCACGGATTTCGGAATTTCGCATCACATGGAGTTTTAAAAAATTTAATGCAAGTTTCTAACCTCTCAAACTGTATCTATCATGTTAATACTTAGCATTTTAAAACCTATAAATTTTATACATCCATTTAGTCCTTTTAAGCAGAAACCAATGGAATGGTTGTAGTTAATATTTAAAATTAGGTCATTTGAATGAAAATATATCATGAATATTTTTTTCAACTAAATACCTATGACACTTTGTTTCAAAACCACAAACAATATCGGGCCCAAATTGTTCCTTGTGGTACTGTAACACATTAACAATAACACATTCTCTTGGCTGTTATTTATTTACACGATTTGATTTCTGCCTTCCACTGCTTCGGATTTCTTGCTCCTTTTATACCAAAGTTAAGACACTAAAATTTAATACTGGAACTACTGAAAGCTCTGGATAAGTCACATAGTATCATAATGACCTGTTCACTCTCTCAAAGTTTCCGAATATTTATCTCAACAGAACTCCATAATGACTTGGACCCAGACAGACCAGTACTGTGATTAAGTGCCGATCATTTTAACTTCTATTACAACGGTTATTTGCTTATAATAAAAGTTTTCACAAAATCGTCAGAAAAGAAAACATTAGTTTGAGTGAGAAGAAGAGGGTCAAAAAAGTGGTCATAGCAGGGTGAATTTTAATTTCAAGGCAAAAACTATTTCCAGTAAAGAATTTTTAAACAGATAATACCCTTTTTTATAACCTTCGTGAACATGTTAGTTCATTTAGCATACGAAAATCTTGAAAGGATGTTCATGTACATTCGTACTATATTAATAGCACAATAACACGATACAACGTTTGCGTGAACGCCCAATGCATCTTTCCTTTCGGTTTCCTTTCTTATGTGCCATCACATTACATACAAAAGATAAGCCCACACATACAATTGAATAAATATGCAAAACACAACCGTACCCATAAAAAGCCTATTATTCAAATGTTTATCAATTAATCAATTAATTATACTTTTGATCGAAGGTCTTCATTGAGATGAAAAAACTTGTGTCCGAGTTGATCGAAGTCACGATAGCTCAAGCGGCTAGAGCAGCAGCGTATTGTGTCAAAGGTCATGGGTTCGAATCCCGTTCGTGACACTAGCTTTTTAATCTCAACCAAGACCTTAAATAAATAATTAATATGTCAATTAAGACCGCTAGACATATACGGATCAATATGTACCGAACATACAGTTAAACCACATTCTTTCAAGCATACATACTAGTGCACAAAACTATTATACACACTTAAAGCACACATACACACTGATTATATATAAAATGATCCCAAATGTATTGACTTCTTCTATGGGGTTCGTTTAACCTAAAGAATTCAACTGTCTGACTTGCAAGTTGATCATCTTCGGGTTTTCTTTTCATCCTTTCATTAAAATGTAATCAAAAGCGAAAAAAAATGTCATCAGTCTGCTTGGATGTTTTTCGACCTAATGAGAACTCTCCTCTTAACAAGATAATTAGTTCCTAACAATTTGTATCTTTCTCACTAACATATCTTACCTCTCGGCCTTTTCTTTATGTTACTTTTATCAATTTTTCGTTTATATCATGTAGCAGCAAAAACAATGTTAGTTACTCCATCATAACAGACGATTGAAATTAGATTTCAGCGATAGTGTTACAAATAAACATATTTAGCTGGGAAATATTTAAGGCACAGTATAAAATAATCAGGCTCATTGACGATTCTGTTTAAAGTGTTAAATGTATGGACAACTTTTTCACTCACGAATACTCTTGATCTCGGTATGGACTGGTCACGTCTCAATCCATGGCAAAGTTGTGGCTGAGTCCTACATTCAAAGAAATTTGAAACCATTTATTAAAAACTTAATTATGTAAATTTGTAGACATCTTTAAGTTTTTTTTGCCCTGATGGTAAACTTTAAACAGGTCGAAAGCTTAGCAGAAAATAATTGAATTTGTTTTTTTATCCAGACCAAACCGAGATCCAGAGTATTTATTGACTAATTAACGTATACAATTTCAGTTATTTATTGACAATTTTAAATTTATTAAAACGTAAAACTTATTCTATAAATGTGTAGTATTTAGTGATCGTTAATTAATGATTATTTGGAGGTCGTGAGATGCGGTCTGGTTTAACGTAGGTTACAAAAACATTTTCTTTATCGTGCCAACGTTTAGGTCTTTTTTAAGATCATCTTCAGGGCCTGGGATTTATAAACATCGTTTAAATTATACAAATGCATGTAAGATGTGAAAAAATGAATTTATACAATGATAGAAATTCATTGTAGACCGCATCTCACGATCTCTTATCTTATTCTATAATTTCTAACTTGTTATCAAATTAATGATCCAAGGTTTTTTTTTTTTTTTTTTTTTTTTTTTTTTTNCATACAAATGAGTAATCCTGTAAACGTAAACAGAATATTTTATATAGATTTTTTTTAATGAAAACTTAAAATCCTGCATTATTTTCCGGACAACCCAATATATATATTATAAAGCATTGCTAGGTGGCAAAACGCAGTACGCGTTCAATAATGCTTGCTTGCTGAAAACTATAATGGTTCATAACGATTTGCGTACGCAAGCAGGTCCCTATCTCCTTCCACAAGGTTAATGATAAGTGAATTATGGTTGTAGTTTTCTAATTCATTTTTATGAGCATTGGGAGATATGTGTTTGAAATCGTTTTTCCTTTTAGGATGAGATATTTTTTCACACGCTTTAACCACAAAGAACAGTGGGTCAACCAATACGATGAAAATATACTTTAAAATGAAACTTAATACAAGAGATATTGATGATTAACATTAGTCTGTACTTTTGGATCAACCAATCTCGCTTTTTACCGTAGGATAGTGAAACATGTCTTATACGAAACATACGAGATTAGGCTTTAAAGGATTATTAAAGATTAATAACAATGCCGACAAACGAAATAATACTTCTCACCATTCAGCATTACGTGTTATTATTTTCCCGATGTTTCAAAAGACGGTTTATCCGGCTGCACTATTTCGTAAGCAGTTAGTTTCTGTACGTTATGCTGGAGCGCCACTTCCTACGGCTATTGGATTATCTCCCATTCATCAAATCCGGGATTAATTCCAAACTCCACCACTGAGTACTTCTTCGCCATTCACTACCGTTTTATATTTTGTTAACAGAGCTATCTGCTTGTATGGCTTGTTAGATGGAATATCCAAAAAAATTGGCTATCAAAGGTCCCAAGTGGAATAAAGTCAATTTTTAACGTAGTTCAGACAAACAAAATTTAAGTGTTTACGCGCATTGTACTATATGATTTCAACAGTAAACAATCCAAAATTGTTTTTTACAATAAAATACACCCACTGATCTTAAACCTGTTGCGATGTTAGCCTACTTGTAACAGTAAATTTGCCCATTTAAACCTAACAAGTGTTGGATTACTTTATTTTAAATTTATTTTAAAGTGCAATTTTCAATCAAGCTTGTTATTTATGTAGTAGCTATATATTTTATAGAATAGCCTGGCTGCTTCTCTTATCGTGCGATTCGAATATACTGGCCGTTTATTTTCCTATCCCACTTGTCGAAGCTGTAATCGATAAATACGTATTTGTTAGAGTTTCTCACATTTAGCGAAACAATAAAGAGCCAGTTTAATTTACCGACAAGTTAAATGATACTCGAAGAAAAATAAATAGCGCTTTAGTACTAGTTTGCCCTTCAACTTTCAGCCTTCGACCCACCATATTCACCGGATATATTATCTAGTTCCCCCTCGTGTAACATGGCAGCATTTGGTAAACGAGCCTAGCAAAAAAATATGCTCGGGAAGCAAAGTTTTTAAATGCTAACTTACACAGTTAACTACATGGTTAACTATGGATACAAACTGAACGGCGAAATTATCAGAGAGGCCATGTCAAATGGTGTTTATTTTCACAGATTTTTTTGAACTGTACATCTAGAGAGGTGGAAAAGGTACAATTTTAGCCTTGCTATTTGATGTGGTTCAAGGAGCATAATTAGCAAAGGGGAAATACTCAGGATTCCGAGTTAAATTAAAAAGTGACATGACAGACCTGCAAGTATATCTATTTGTTCTTGACCATTCTATGCGTTCCTTTAATTTGGCCCTAAACCGAAGTTATGTAAAATTTAAAATGTCGAATTCTATACAACTTACCAAGGGAACGACCAGGTTGGTAGGTCGCGGATTTGGGCCAAACTTTTTTTGGTGATTCTACACTCCAAAATATCGGGCACGTGTACACCACTTCTTCTAAATGGGCCCTGGTTCGCCAAAAAATTTAAGATTGAAATTTTCCCTTTTTTTAATATTTTGATTGCACCTTTCTACTTGCTAAAATCAACTATGTGAATATAGCATTTTACAGCATTTTTTATGTAGATTGCAATAACAATATAATAAAAGCTATCGAAGTTTATCAATAACTCAAAATTATCTAAAAACCAAATATTTTTCAAGTAAATTGGGTTTTACGTAAACGTTTTTGTTAAACCACCTTGAATTTCGTTTTAGCATCTCTATAGACTCCAGAATGGAATTTATTAAATTTATCGAATTTTTTGACATCTAACATGTTTTCTATTTTTAAGAAGTCGTTATCGGAATATCCTGATTGAAACGGCTATATTTAAAAAACTGCTACAAGGATTTCAATGTCAAACAGACCTTTTGAAAGAAGAGGAATGTAGCTTTTTGACGAAGCATGAGTCATTAAAAAATATAAAATATTTCTATAGGAAAATACTCAAAATAGCAAAATTATTTGTAAGAAATTAACCTCATTTTTTTTAAATGGAAATAATAGTTTGATTTTAATTGTTGATAAAACCATTTCTTTAAAACGAATTTTCGACGGTAAAATTGGTCATCTAGCTTTTGAGAAAAATTATGTTAGATCTTGCATTAGGAATGTCAGTCAGGCAGGAAAATGGGATATTTATGGAATGGAAACGCGTGCCAAAGTGTTTAAAATTATTGAAAAATGTTAATTGGTCAATCAGACCACGAACTGTAATAGAATTAAAAATGATTGTTTTTTCATATTTTTTCCAGTCGATTTTATCGCAAAAGCTTGGAAACAATATATACGTGTACATTGATATTGTTTAAGGATGTTGTGATTTTTTGAAAATGATGGAAAGTATTTTTGTAATATATATCGTTAGAAAAAGAAATCTTAACTGAGTCACTTCTGGCAAAAATCGATACTTTTGAAAGAAAAAAGACCACTGCTTTTGGTGCATACAGTCGACTCACGATAACTTGAACCTCAGGGGGAAATTTAAAAATTCGAGTTATCTAGTTTTTCGTCCAAGATTCGAGGTATTGAGCCAGCTAATCCACTCGCAGAGTCATACTTAATCCTATTTTTAAAAATTGTGTATAAGCTGTTTGGCGATGTCGTCCTTTTTCTTAATACCTTCATCTACCACCTTAATAATCTTGCTTTTCTCCTCCACGCATAACGTCTTACACTGTCTTGTATATAAATGAACAAACACGTAAACAAGAACGAACTGCAAAATAAAGAACTGCCAAAAAGGTGTGAACTTTACTGTGCACTTTCTGGTGTAGGACTGTTAAGAGGGCAGGAGAGAGGAGCCCAACAGATAAAGAAATGCCGCTGGTCGCCTGAGCTTACAAAGAAAATTTGTCAAATCGAGGTTTTCATTTCAAAATGTTCGACTAATAGAGGTAAAAATATGGGCAAACACTATAGGAAAAGAGGGGATTTGAAAATTTCAATATTTATGTGGTTTCAAACGCAATTAAAAGAAAAAATGAAAACAGAGGAACTGAGTCAATCTGGATTATATACTGTTTTACACTGTTCACAAATATATTCAACAAAGAACAGCGAAGGGTCATTAGTAGGCAGGATGTGGCTGGTCCTTTGTTCGCTCCTTCACGAGTCCTTTTCCAAAAGAATGATTCCTCTCGCCCGGAGCGGCTTCCTTTTTCATTCTTCCTCCACCAATTTTCACTTTTACTAGTCTTTAGGTAAATCTAGCAGTTCAATTAAGTCTATAGAAAGAAGTCAACTTGAATCTTATTATCATTAAAGAATGTAATTGGAGGAATTGTACTGGCAACACTGAATCTACAGAATTCTGAATGTAAAGTGTACATAAATGTGTTAATTGTGTTTAAGAAAATATATTAGAGGTTTTAATGATATAATTGTGTAATCATCACCCTTTAAGAATTACAATTTTCTGGACAATTCACACATGAGGATATGAATGTTTTTCAAGTTCAAATTTTGTACAATTTGTTTTTCCCCTGTAATATTCATATTTTTTGTTTATTGACTTTTTTTCGGTTCAGGTTCTTGGCAACGGAAATCTTGTATTTCCACCGTTCAGGGCCGAGGATTATAGACAGGAGGTTCATGCCCAAGTTTACATTTGCTTGGCAAAAAACTCAGTCGGATCCATTCATTCCAGAGACGTTAACGTGAGAGCAGGTAAATCACTGTTTAGTAATCTACTATTTAACTTTTAATAATATTTATAAACGTAAGAAGGGCTCAGATATTTTCGCTTATATGGAAAGAAACTTTTGTTTCATTTACCATTTCCAAACAATTAACGAAAAAATCAAAATAATTGTTTATATTTTCTGTCAGAGTTTAATTGCAAAAATAATTACATTTTATACTACTCTGAAATATCTTTCAGTTTGTTTTACCAATTTTCAAAACCTTCAAACGAAAATTTAAAATGAAATGCTTATATTTCAACATCAAAGCTTACATCGTTTTATTTAATTATTCAAATATGATGCTACTTATTTATACACCCCAAAATAAAGAGTTGTTTAATAATTTTGTTTCTAAACGGAATTTCTTAAATTTCTTAAAACCACGATTCAAAATTATATTGGTCTATAGTAAGATAGTATTAACAGCATATAAATATCAGTTGGATCAATTGCCCACAGTTATAAACTTAACGCTAAATTATATATTGGGTGTAGTCGATTATTGAAATTCTATTACATTCTCCATATTCTTCATCATTTTTATTTATGATATTGTTTATTTTCCACCCAGAGGAGCTTTTTTTTGTTTTATCTTGAATGGTTAACAGGGGCAATAATGAAGCTTTTAAAGAATTCAACTTATAAAACAAATGACTATTCAAAAGTAATTTTCTTATAAAACTTTATAACAAGAGTTGGGCCAATTGCCCAAATTTATACAATCCGGCGCCCGCTCAGTGATGATACTTCGGAAGTTAACTATTTACAAACGTGTAGGACGGAGCTTCCCACCATGTAATTTAAAAAAAAAATTAACTCGTCAGTACGATCCGATAATTTTGGACGTCGAAGGTGGTTGACGTCCGTTTCACACCCTTTGAAAATTATTTATTAGGATTGATTTCTTTTTATGAATTGCGAGTTTTAAACTGTAGGAAATCGGTCCAATTGACAATATAATTAATTAATGTGTGGTGTTTAGTGACCGTTAGTCAATGATAATTCAGCAGATCGTGAGATGCGGTCTGATGTGACGTACGTTTTGGAAAAACAACACGACTCACAAGAATGACACATCTACACGGAAAACAAACACTTTGGGTGAGCCCTGAAGATGATCTCAATAAAGATCGAAACGTTGGCACAATAAAGAAAATGTTTTTCTAAAACCTACGTCACACCAGACCGCATCTCACGATCTCCGAATAATCATTNTGTTGACATTCATACAAATGAGTAATCCTGTAAACGTAAACAGAATATTTTATATAGATTTTTTTTAATGAAAACTTAAAATCCTGCATTATTTTCCGGACAACCCGATACTTGTTTTCATGTTTTATTTGTAGTTATATACAGAATTTTAGGTGTTTGAGTTACCATTCATAGAAGGATCGTGTCCGGCCTTTTTCATAAAAATATTGTTTTAAATTAGAGTTGATGCTGGGTGTTGGTGGTCTGCGAGTCGTGAATTCATGTTCAACCGGCACTGGGTCATTTATTCGGTCGTCTTCGTTGTCCCTCATTGAAGATGGTTCAGTGCCGAAACGCGTTTCAGTATTCAACAAAACGCGACCCAATAAGTGACCCAGTGTCGATTCAACGTGATGTTTTAAATTGACACTTTTCTAAAGGCACCGTCTTGCCAAAACTTCTGTTTTGTCTTTAGTTTTTTTGACAGATAACTCGGGTGTTTGTTTCTGTTGTTGTCTTTTAAGAATCATGATCCCTCTGCAGTGATAAAAATTCATAACCGCTCAAATTCCTTATTTTAGTCGTGTCCCAGCCTTACGACGTCGACGTAAATAAAGAGTATGCTATCAGAGGAAATTCCGTTGTATTGAAATGTACAGTCCCGTCGTTCGTCGCTGACTTCCTTACAGTCGTTTCGTGGCATACTGAAGAGGATGTATTTTATCCAAATAAGGATTACGGTAAAACGGTTTGCAAGATAATCTGTTGTCAGCCCTCACTCACACTCCGAGACTTCTTTGTATGAAATATATTCGTTACAAAAAAAAAATAAACCAAATATCTGGCGGTTGCAGTTGTGGCGCAGCCTTATGAAACCGACGCTAGCAAGGAGTACGTTATCAGAGGGAATTCCGTTGTTGTCAAGTGTCAATTTCCCTCCTTCGTGGCTGATTTCTTAACTGTCGTTTCTTGGAAAACGGACAAGAACGAAGTGTTTTACCCAAATAAAGATTACGGTAACTTTTCCGACCCCACAGTTTTAGAATCTCACTCACACAAACCCAAGGAAAAAGTCGAAAACTGCGCTCCACCGACTAATACCGAAGCCGACTAATGCCTCGAACGTTGTTCAGTTGTAGCTCAAGACTATGAGATTAACGCCGCTTTGGAATACGCGATCAAAGGGAATTCCGCTGTTTTAAAATGTCAAATCCCTTCATTTGTCGCAGACTTTGTCACTGTTTCGTCCTGGCATACTGATAAAGGCGAAGACTTTTACCCCGATAGCAATTATGGTAAATTTTATATAAAGGTGTATAAGAGAGCTCACTCGCACTTCCCAAGAGTCCTAAAATTTTTTAATATAATCTGTTTACTAAGTCCAATTTACAAAAAATTCTCCAGTTGTTGCACAGGAATACGAGACGAACGCAGATATGGAATACGCCATTAAGGGAAATTCTGTTGTCCTCAAATGCAAAATACCTTCATTCGTAGCCGATTTTGTTACTGTCGTTTCTTGGCACACTGATTCCGGTGAAGATTTTTATCCGAATAATAATTATGGTAATCAAATTAAGCAAAAATAAAAACGTAAAGATCTTACTCTCGCAACATCCTTTCACTACCTCTAATTTATCCCAGGGCTCTTCAGAATTTCTCGAAAATTTTGATCGTTGCAATTTTTTCTTTATTGACAGTTGTGGAGCAGGTTTACGAAAGCGAAGTTAACAATGAGTACGTGATCCGCGGAAATTCCGCCGTATTAAAATGCAGCATACCGTCGTTCGTTGCTGATTTTGTGACCGTTGTCTCGTGGCAGGATGAACAAGGAAGAACATTTACGGCCGATCCCTCCCTAAACTCTGGTAAAGCGGAGAAGGAACTTTTTACGATCACCTCACTCATATCGATATCCTGTTTATACCCATTTTCCTTTTTTCGTATCAATTCTGTTTGTTACTGTTGAGTTTTATTTGTTCAAGTGGTCAACCAGTACTACGACGCCGAAGTAGTTTCGGAGTACGTAATTCGAGGAAATACCGCCGTTATTAAATGCAATATTCCATCTTTTGTCGCCGACTTCGTAAGGGTCGAATCCTGGGTGGCCACGGATGGAACTGTCTACACTCCTTCCACAAATTTCGGTACATTATAAGTTAAAAGGAAAAAAAGGACTTTTTCTAACCTATCATTATCCTCTATTTCCTACTGCCGACTGTTTGATTCATTAACTTGTTCATTGATTCAGTTGTTTTATCACTTACTCCCTCCCTGTGTAAAATATATGTTGCTTTGTAAGTTGGACATAGAGCATCATCTAATGTTTTTAAGCATCTGGTCAACAATTTTATCTTGTTGTTTGAGAGGTATTTACACTTTTCGTTTTACTTATGGGAAGTTATCCATCATTCACTAATTCTGCAGCCCTCCACACTTGACGTTTTTGTAAGATGCTTAAGGTGGCAAGATACACTGGCAGGCAAAAAATTCCACCGACTTGTAATATAACCCTGATTGCATATATATTTATACATCAATCAAAGTTTCAAGTATTAACGTTTAATAATTGAGTCTTTGTCTAAAAAATGAAAAACAAGGCGGACAGATAAAATTTGTTTGAATTTTGTTTTAGATTTTTAATTGACATCAATATCGCGTATTTCCTCCTTTTGTCTTCATTACATCTCCAAGACTCCTCGGCATACTTTCTCCCAGTCTGGAAATGTGTCTTTGCTGGAGGTTAGACCATTCTTTACGAAGAGTCCTTTCAAGATCGTGGAGTGTATCAGGAAGTGATGGACGTGCTCTTGAGGTTATCCCATAAATGTTCGATGGGGTTCAAAAGTCTGGAGAACGGGCTGGCAGGCTAAGACCCTGATGTTATACTGTTGAAGGTTCGTTTGTACAATGCAAGCGACATGTGGACGGGCATTATCGTGCATTAGAATAGGATTGTCGCTGATGTAATCGAGGATAGGCAACGCAAGGTGTTCCAAAATTTCATCTACATGGCGAGTGGCCCTCATAGACCCTCTAGGAACAACAGCCAACTCTGTGCGACTCTCTAATAATTCTTGCCCATACCATCACTGAGCTACGTTGAAAAGATTGGCTCTGGGAAAAATTATAGGCTATGTACCTTTCATTTCGCCTTATCCACACTCTTTCACGTCCATCAGGAGATCGTAGAGCAAATCTACACTCATCTATAAAAAGTGCAGCAGACCAATCGTCCTCCAATGGCTGTGTTCTCGAGAAGACACGAGCCGTGCAACTCTGTGTGTTCTGATCAATTCTGGTCCTCTTACGGGGCCAAAAGCCATCAGTCCATACTGATTTAATCTTTTTCGAGCAGTGCGATCAGAAATTTGGGCACCTCGAACTTCTTGGAGCTGATGAATCGCTTGAACAACAGTAAGGTGCAAGTTTCTCAAAATTCTCAAAGTCAAAAAACTGTCAAGCTGTGCTTCTGTTACCCTAGGACGTTCAGAACCGGGACTTTTATGGTAGGACCCCATTTTTCGAAAACGTCTATCGGCGTATCGCAGTTTCGTAGGGAACTCAGACGGCAATACCTGATGGAACGTCCATTATCAATAAGTGACATCGCGCAACATCCTCAGCAATAAGTGGCATTTTTAAGTTTAAAAATTGAAATTAAGAAAACAAAGATGAAAATTAAACAGTTTATTGCTTCAGAATTCAAATGAGAGTGAAAAGGAATAAACATTTTACAAAGTAAACATTGAAAAATCCTTTATTCTTGTTTTGGATTAAGGATTAAGTGTGCTTACCTCTAATAGATATTCCAAATTTAAAACATAGCATAAATAAATATTTATTGTTAAAAAAATGAGGCAAATTGAGGGCAGAATTTTCTTTTATCGAGAAAATGAAAAAAAATCAATTGGGTGGAATTTTTTACCTGTCAGTATATTTAATAGTTTTATCACAATGGACATAAAAAAGGACGTCATTTACTGAATGGTTTATTATTTCAGTTGTTAATCAGCTATATGAAACTGAAATTTTAAACGAGTATGTTATCCGAGGAAATACAGCCGTTCTAAAATGTAGCATTCCTTCCTTCGTCGCTGATTTCGTGTACGTCGAGGCCTGGATCGACGAAACAGGATCGGTTTATTTACCGAAAGTGGGAAGATCGGACGATTATGGTAAAATGTCGAGGGTTTACTTAATTAATCAACACCTCACTCCGTCCGTCCCAATCAAAAATTTCCTTCTATCTTCAGGAGTTTTATTTCTTTTCTTTTGAACAGTTGTTAATCAGGAGTACACGACCGAGGCCGAAAACGAATACGTGATCCGTGGAAATAGCGCTGTGATGAAATGTAAAATTCCGAGTTTTGTCGCCGATTTCGTCCAAGTAGTTTCTTGGGTGTCCTCTGACTGCTCTGAACTTTCCCAGAGGTCTACAACCGATTACGGTAATCATTACATTGAATGGTGTCAGTTTTCAACCAGCCAAATCCTTCTCCATTCTGATTGGCCATGATATCCTTTGATGAAGCTGTCTTTGGTTTTAGATCTAGACGTTTGTTTATTCGATTTTAAATTTATTTCTGTTCAAAACTATTTATATTGCAGTTGTAATGCAACCGTATGAAGCGGAAGCCGATAATGAATACGTCATTCGAGGTAACAGCGTCGTTATGAAATGCGAAATTCCAAGTTTTGTGGCGGATTTTGTGTCAGTAATAAACTGGATTGACAGTACCGGTGTAACGTACTTCCCGAACGATAACTACGGTACACTGATTTTAAAATAATCGAAACATACCGGCCGAACTCACACTGTTGATTGTTTTATCTTGCTCCTCCACTATTTAAATAGTAAAATTTGTTTTAATTTTTAAAGAATGGTTGCGTTTCATTTTTGTATTGGATTTTAGTTGTTGACCAATTCTACCAGTCGAGGGTAAACGACGAGTTTGTTCTTAGAGGAAACTCAGCCGTATTGAAATGCATTCTGCCAAGTTTCGTAGCTGATTTCGTTCAGGTTATCGGTTGGCTCAACGATAAAGGAGACGAATTCTTGACCTCAAATTCTCCAGATAAGAGACACTATGGTAAAGTCGACAAATACAATTTTGACCCATCATAACTCAACTTCCCTCAGAGAATTGTGGCCAATGATATTGTATCCGGTTCTAAATTATTATTTTGGGTTTCTTTGTATAAAGAACATAATTTGAAGTAGAGATTTAAGTATCGCATGTTTTTTAACAGTCGTGGATCAACTTTACGATACTAGAGTGATAGACGAATATGTACTAAGAGGAAACGCTGCAGTGCTTAAATGTCTCATTCCGAGTTTCGTGGCGGACTTCGTTCAAGTTTTAGACTGGCGTACAGACGACGGCACGTCTTTAGTCTCTCCAGTTTCCAGAGATAGCAAAGGCTATGGTAACCGGACCGATCAAAATATAATTCATGGACCTCAACTCGCCGATTCCGTTAACCCGTCCAAGTTTTGACATTCCCATTAAACCGATGGTGCTAGTCATCATTCATTACGTTATCCTGGATGTTTTTTCAGTTGTAAATCAGTACTACGAGGCCCAAGTGTACGACGTATTCGTTATTAAAGGAAACGCAGCCGTCTTCAAATGTAATCTTCCTTCATTCGTGTCGGACCATTTGGAAATAGTGTCGTGGCAGGACACGCAAGGAAACACTTACATGCCTACCAACAATTATGGTAAATTATGTCGGAATTGGCTGTTGACCGGTACCGGTAAAGCCCTTAGGCCTTCCTCCCCATTTAAAGCCCGGTTCGGAATTTGAACATGTCATCATTTGTTGTTATCTTCTTTTTTTTAAAGTCAGTTGTTGTAAGTTGAACTCCTCCATGGCATATTTTTGCAGTTGTTACACAGCGGTACGACGTTAACGTCATGGACGAACATGTTTTAAGCGGGAATTCCGCCGTCTTCAAATGTCACATACCCAGTTTTGTCGCTGACTTTGTGAATGTCGCTTCTTGGGTTCAAGACGGAGAAACCGAATTTTTTCCTGACATCCATCATTACGGTACAAACAATCAATTCAACTTTTAAAGATTGATGCATTAAATTTTTATTCGGTTTTAAGTGTGGAGGTAGCATTGGCCAGTTCCTCCCTTTGACACTCCTCAACCAGAAACACTTACCTATCCCTATTCCTTTGTGTGAGTGAGGTCATAGTTATAAGTATTAGTTATAGAATAATCATCAATAAAATTTGTTCAGTTATATCAAACGGCAGCGTAATTTTTTTGTTAAGGAAAAATTCTGTCATTTTGACATTCACTTTTGACAGCTTGATCAAAATTTATTACTTTCCGGTCCGCCGATTCTCGCCTGTCGTGGGTCCAGGCTCACAGCGAGAACAGGCGGACAGATAAATTTTAATCATACTAATATCATAGTAATTTATCGACTTTTATACTTTTATCATACCAGCTAACTGAAATCTATTGTTTCGTTTATAATAACAATTAATCGCTTTTAGAATTTTATTGATGATTAAAATAGATTAGTGTTAAGGTCGGATAATTTCTTGGAAAACATCAACATCAACCAAGCTATAGAACATTTTTAATTATTTTAGTTTTTCTAAAGCATTAAGTTATGAGATTTTTGAAAGAAAAAAGTAACTATAGTATGGTGTTTATTTAAACCAATTAATTTGTTAATTTATGGCTGAGCATTTTTGGGCTCATTTGCCAGCCCCCCTTTCATTAGATATTCATAATCAGATTTTCAATTTATCTTTTCATATATTTTATTATTGTAATAAGGTCTAATGAGGGGGCTGGCAGCTGAGCATCGATGTGCATAGTGAGAATTAGAAGCAAATTAATTGGTTGAAGAAGTTCAGTAAAACACTTAACTACATATATTCAATAAAACAACAAAGGAAAACAAAGAGAATGAAAATAGTAATTATATTGCTTTAAAAATTTGAAATTTTTTTATAATTCCATATAGTTTTAATTTTTCCAAGAATTATCCTGTAAATTAGTTTACTTCAACCATTTTTATTTGCCAAGTTCATACAAATAATAATAATACTAACTTATATTAGTTTTAAATTAATTATCTAAAATTAAACTTAAACTATCTTTATTAGAAAAAGAAAAGAAATAATGGCACTTTTAAAATTCAAAATATCGATATTAAATTAATTTTTCTTTTAATTTAATTTTAATAGTAGTAAACTATGTTGTTAAATTTATAAGTAATTTATTTTTCTTTGAACAAAATTACTTTTCTTATAATAAATAAACGATAGGGTAATTTTAATGAAATATAATCAAAAATCCCGTATTGACGATTTTTTTTCAAATTGATTTTTAGACGGAAAATATTTAGTGTTGCCTTCTGGTGAGTTGCACATTAAAGATGTTGGCCCTGAGGATGGTCACAAGTCTTATCAATGCCGAACAAAGCACAGGCTAACTGGAGAAACTAGATTAAGTGCAACAAAAGGGAGGCTTGTTATAACTGGTAAGTTGAAAAAATCATTTTACAATTTGCATTTCATTGCTAGTCAAAAGAATTTCCACGGCCAAAAGCGTTAAGAGCTTTCAGTGTGTTCAGTTGCTTGATTAGATTCCACATAATATTTTTAAGATTTGCCAAAAGAGTCAAGATAAGTGTAACCAATCTGAGGGGGAAGATTTTTCTTCTTTGGTCGTATTGATTTATTTTTAATATATAATTTGTGTCAGTTTGAATTAAAGAGATAATTTTACTCTAAAATATATTCAGTTGAATTCGAATCATTTAATTAAATTTTATTTTCAACTTAAAATAAAGCAGCGGTGATACTAAACCTGAAATACATCCTGGTCGTTTTTTTGCCTAGCCGCCTCCTTGCTTCTGTGTTCAAAATTTTACTCTCTTTTAATAAATAAAATCATACACTTATTTTAACTCGTTATTTTATAAATTATGGTAATTAAGTTAAACAATTCAAAATTTTTAAAATTTTGTCAAAATTTAATTACCTTGGAAAATCTTTTGCACTAGTTATAAATAATTTGTCAATATCACTTCATTATTCCATCTTAAATTTATTGTCATTAATAGCAAAACTGTTAAATAAAAACTGTCAAAAACACAAACAAGTTTAAAAAGCAAGATCATTTCAGTTATAGGTAACAAAATAAAAATTTGCAATTTACCTTATGAAATTAAACAGTTTTGCTATTAATATGGAAGCCTGAATGTTGGGATAGGGTACCCCTGCTGCCGGATAATTTGAATTTTTACTATTTCTAACAATCAATCAAAGCCCTCAGCTACTGTTTTAAAAATAACAAAACTTACTTATTTAATTTTGCATATCATAGAGGTAAGTCTTTATCGTTATGATTTATTTAATGCACATAAGTAGTACCAAGGCAAAATAAGCCTATTGGCTTAACTTTACCCCGATAATTTTTTATTATTTTATTTAAAGAGCCAGTTGGAAGTACATCCCCAAAGTTCACATCAGCAGATAATAGCCGTGGATTTTCAACCAAGCTTTCATTATCTGTTAGCTTTCATTGCTTAGCTCAAGGTTTCCCTGTTCCGAGTTTTAGGTAAAATTCTCAGCACATCCATTTTTTTAAACTATGATTCTCTCAATCTTTATAATTAAACAATATAAAAACAATTGGGTATTTATCCCTTAATTGGTACTAAAAAAACTGGGGATGTTGTTAAGATCCAGTTGGGACAACCGGGCCACGTTTCGCTTCTAAAGATAGCAGACATGACTTCAGTGGTTTGAAAGACCAAGCAATTACATTTATGTGTCCAGCACAAGGATCCCCGCCACCTCAGCACAGGTAAAAGCAAAGCTAAAATTCAAGCATACATTGAACAATTACACAAACTGCCACTTTTGAACTGCCGAAAAATCACAATTTTTTACCACCTTTACTCCAAAGAGGCCTATTTCATAAATAAGTTTATCTGAAAGTGATATCAATCTATTTACACAATTTTGTGTATTCAGAGCCAGTTGGAACATCCAGTCCTCAATTTTCTATGATTGATAAGAGCCGAACTTTTATTCTAAGAAAGGGAAATGCACTGACGTTGCAATGTCCGGCTCAGGCGTTCCCGGTTCCCAGTTTCAGGTATTGACCTATCTGTATTACTTAATTTTAATTTTTTTTTTGAAAACAAATAGAACCTGTTGGGGGAACTCGGCCAAAATTTTCAAGTGTCCTGACCTCACTTTCGTTCTCAGTAACTCATCATATGAGTTTCTCATTGCAATGTCCTGCACAAGCTTTTCCTGTTCCGAATTTTAGGTAAGAAATTGATCTGGCTGCAGGGTGCCATTCCCTGGCAGTTAATCTTAGTATTAAAACACTTTATTCAATTAGAACCCGTGGGGAGTACAGGACCCAAATTTCCAAGTGTTGTTACACTTCAAGCATTCTCAGTGATTAATGGGCAAATGTTCTCTTTGCAATGCCCTGCACAAGCTTATCCAGTACCAAATTTTAGGTAAGAATATCCTAATATATAGGGTCATCCGTGCTGCAGGGTACTTTCTGTCTTCGAGTATTATATGTAATTTATTCGTATTTTAATTAGAACCTGTTGGTGGGACACGGCCAAAGTTCCAAAGCGGACATCGGAGTTTAACTTTTGATGGAATTAAAGACTCCAGTTTAACCCTATTTTGTCCAGCACAGGCTTATCCGGTACCAACCTTCAGGTACAGTTGTAAAACAATAAAGTAGAACATAACCTGGTAACAGAGGTACCCTTCAGTTGTGATTTTCATTTCATATTTTATACATTTTTTCACCCCTACATTTTTTAAAATAATGTTTTATACAACTGACAATGGACCTTACCACCTATAGTAAAAAAAGGTTAGTATAAATGAAATTTTTTCTACCTTTCTGTTAGAACCAGTGAGTAGTGCAGGCCCAAGAGTTATGTCAACTGCCAAATTTGATGTCCTCAATAAAGCTTTGGGTGCTTTTATTTCTCTACTATGCCAAGCACAGGGACACCCTGTTCCAAACTTTAGGTGTGTATTTGAAAGGACATTACCACTATAAATTCAATTTAATTTACAAAAATTCAGATCCTGTTGGTGCAAAACCTCCTATGTTCTCTACTGATTTGCAAAGTTCCACATTCCAACGGAGGTCTGGACAAATGATTGATATTCATTGTCAAGCCCAGGGATACCCTACTCCATCTTTTCGGTATGTCATTGTAAACAATTCTATTTTGTTGTCTTTTTTATATGAATTAGAGCCAGTTGGGAGTAAAAGACCATCATTTTCAATTGACACGAGCATATTGTCTTTTAAGAAGAAAAATAAACATAGTCTTTCATTGTTGTGCCTTGCACAAGGGTACCCTGTGCCTTCGTACAGGTAAAGTGAATTCAATTTGCATTGAGTATAAATTATTACAATTTGTCTAAAGATCCTGTCGGAAGTAAAGCCCCTGCGTTGAGTATGGATCTTAGGAGAATTTGGATTGAAAAGCGACAAAGTACTGGCTTTAGTTTACCTTGTTATGCTCAGGGTTATCCGCTACCGACATTCAGGTAATAATGATATTTATGCCTGGAGTGCTAACACTATTTTATCTTTGCTGGAATAGAACCAGTAGGAACTAAATCTCCAAAATTTTCATCAGAAGCGAGGCTTATATGGTTCAACAAAGTTGCAAAAACTAATTTTGCGCTACTATGTGAAGCTCAAGCATTTCCAGTACCAAGGTTTAAGTAAGTTTTTGTTAAAACAGTTAAATTTATATGGTGAAAAGTAGGTATCAGAAAGGAAATAAGAAACATTCTGTTCTAAAAATTGATTAATCCAACAATTCTTATTGTCTAAAAATTTATGAATTTCTAAATCTTTCTATGCCACATCATTAGATATTTTGTTGGATTTTGTTTTTAATAAATTATTCATTTTGTTTGTTCCCCTAGAAGTCAAATAGGGTCGGTTTGATACTTGGTTGTTATAGATACCAAGATATAATAATGGTAGCAGCCATGAGGTACTCTTCCATAACATTTGGCATATTGTCTCAACCCTGTCTGATTGGTTTTGATGTACTGTAGAACCTGTCGGGACCAAAGGGCCAAAATTCTCAACCGAAGCAAGTCTTGTCTGGTTTAAAAAAATAGCTGAAAATAGTTTTGCCCTTTTGTGTGAAGCACAAGCATATCCTGTCCCATCATTCAGGTAATATAAAAACTGTTGCTGATAAAACCTACAATTGTCGGATTTGTGTAGATCCAGTTGGCACAAAATCACCCAATTTGCCTTTAAAAGAGAGAAAGATTTGGACTGAATCTAAACCCGGGAGTGATCTCTGTTTAATTTGTCAAGCTCAAGGATTCCCAGTACCAGCATTCAGGTCATTATTTAATTCAGTTGTGATTGTTTGTTTTCTATTTGGTAGATCCCGTTGGCTCTAAAGCACCCAATATTCCTATTAAAGAAAAATTGGTTTTGGCTGAAACTTCCTACAGTAATGCATATAGCTTAATTTGTCAGGGCCAAGGATTCCCTGTACCTAAGTTCAGGTATGTTTTTCTAATGTTTACTACCGTGTTATCAGGAAGCAGTGTTACTTTACCCTACATTCTGGTATAAAAACTGTGTAGTTTTCAATATTACATAATACTTTTTTTGCTTCATAAGATCCTGTGGGTACTAAGGCTCCAAATATACCAGTATGGCTTCAAAAAATTTGGACTGTCTATAAGAACAATGATGATTTTTCTCTACAATGTCTTGCACAAGGGTTCCCTGTTCCAAAATTTAGGTAGTTTAGTATTTTTGTTCTCTTTTACTAAAACTTAGTTTTTTTTTAATTATAAATAGAACCACTCGGGTCTAAGCCACCCAAAGTACCAAAATTGCGGATGAATGAAATTGATGGTTTGTTAGCAACAAGTATAAATTTGTTGTGTGAAGCACAAGGATATCCTCAACTATTATTCAGGTATTCTTTCATTATAAAAAATAGCTCAAGGGTTCCCTCTTCCAAAATTCATATATGACTATTGCTTCCAAACGGGTTTTGGAATTCAATTGGCAATTATCTGTGTTCACATTAATTCTCTAGGTTTTTCTTTTTTTTCTAATAGAGCCTCTCGGATCAAAACCACCCAAAGTGCCAAAGCACATGATGAATATATTAGATGGTGTAGTAGGTAACAGCATAAATTTATTATGTGAAGCTCAAGGATTTCCTCTCTTAGCATTCAGGTACATTTCTTCCACTTTGTTCATAAAATAGAATTTAAAAAATTGCGCACAAGGGTCCCCTATCCTACAGTTAAAATCAAATACTTCAACATTATTAATTTATTTAAAATAGATCCCCTTGGATCAAAATCTCCAATGGTACCAAAGGATACAATGAACATATTGAAGCGTGTTGTGAGCACTAGTGTAAACCTACTTTGTGAAGCCCAAGGATTCCCATTACTTTCTTTCAGGTATACAATTTAATCCTACAGCATTTTGTCATTCTCATAAGCTAAAATCATTAATAAGAAAATCATAGAGTAAGTTGTTTTTACTTTTATTGAGAATATAGGCTTGAGTAGTGTCTGGTGATTTTATGCCCAATTTACAATGGAATCCTAGAGGGTGATACTCTATTGTGTTTAATTGATTATTATTTTAAGTTTTGTATGGTGTTTTGATTTATTTTAAATAAAGAAAAATGTCATACCATTATAGAGCTTTGGGGGTAAGAGGGAACTCAAATTTGCTGTAAAGGGCAGAAGGGTTACCTTTTCCTGAATTTTTTTGGCATATGGGGTCAATATTTAATTTGGATATTGTTTTTTGTTTATTCTAAACAGATCCTCTTGGATCTAAGGCTCCAATGGTACCAAGGGAGACTATAAATGTGCTAAAACCTGTATCAGGGGCTAATATAAATTTGTTATGCGATGCACAAGGATTCCCGCTTCCTTCATTCAGGTTTGATAATGTTTCATTCTTTTTTCAATAAGATTGATAAACTTTTAAAACAATTTAATCACAGTTTTAAAAAATCGATTGAAATATTTAGAACCGTTGGGATTCAAACCACCCAGAATTTCCAAAGGGCGGTTGAATGCTGTCGATATAATTTCGGATAAGAGCACTAATCTTCTCTGTGAAGCACAAGGATTTCCCCTTCTTTCATTCAGGTATCTTTCTAGTTTGTTTGCTTTGTTAATTATTCAGTAACAGATGAGAAGAAACTAAACATTTTATTTGTTTCATTCTCAATGTTAATAAAAAGAAGAAAATTTCATTAAAATAAATGTTTTATGTCGATGAACTGTATAGTTTGATCTTATGATTAGGCTTAATGTTATTAAAAAATAATTTTCTAATTGTGCTTAATATTTTGGCCATGGTATCCTGTCCCATTATTAGTACTGGCTTCTTTTCTTCCATCAATATTTAATAATTTTGTGCATTTAATGCTTCAGATTCACTTGGTTTTAAGGCTCCGAAAGTGTTGCAAAATGATAGGATTAACTGGGTTGATGGGAGAAAGATGAATGACATTAATTTACACTGTATAGCTCAGGGTTACCCAATCCCGTTTTTCAGGTACATTTTAAATGCATATTTACATAGAAATTACTTCTCTCAGAACCTGCAGGTAGTAAGTCGCCAAAGTTTTCTACCAACCTCAAGCTTACGTCTTTTGAAGTTATGTCACATGTAGAGGCCGTATCATTATTTTGTATGGCCCAGGGTTACCCAGTACCAACATATAGGTAAAAATAGCATTACAACACATTATTGTCTTAGAGTAAGGGATGCATTGTATAGTAGTTATAAACTATTTAATAATTCTGGAACTATAGATCCTGTAGGTACAAAGGCACCAAGTATTCCTTTTAAAGATACTAAAATTTGGCAAATTTCAAAGTCTGGTGCCAATTTTAACCTTCAGTGTGCTGCACAAGGCTTTCCAGTCCCAGCATTTAGGTAATTTTTAGTTTTATTTTGAATCATGGTTTTGTTATGGAAATTTGTAAGTTCACTTTGTTCTGAACTCTTCATTTCATAGTTTTAATAGATTTCTGGTATCCTCACTATTATTCTTAGTGTAAAAAATGTGCAAAAATTTTAAGCTGTGTGAATTTGAAAACACAGTTCAGAGATAAATTCAGATGTTCTTCAGATACTGCAAGATTTGTAGTAAGTCTTTGGAGCCATAGGACCCGGGGCATCTTTAGTCTATGATTTTGCAAATTTCAACTGAAGCCTTCACAATTTTTTAAATTACTTTTCAAGAGCCAGTTGGGGCCAAAGCTCCAACTTTGTCTTCAAATGTCAAATGGAGCGGTGTAGAAGGCAAAGCAGGTCATGGTTATGCTTTCTTTTGTCAAGCACAGGGATCTCCTCCACCAAAATTCAAGTAATGATTATTTAGACTTAGCTTGTTGATTTTTCTGTCAAGATATTTTTGTGGCTATAAACAATCCAGTTATTGTTTTTTTTTAATGAGGTAATTGGGTACCCAATTCTAATTGTCTTTAAATATTAAAAAAAATCCTGGATCACCATCTTTTAAACACAAGTAAGTTTTTATATTATATTTTTTTAGTCGCATAATAGCACACCTCTGTTAATATTTTGATATTGGTAAGTAAACTTACATAGTGGATTGAACAAGATGTACTGAATCACTCTGGTTTCAATGTTAGTCAAATTTGGTTTTATTACAACTTATGGGCCATTTATTGTAGATCCTGTCGGTGCTAAACCTCCAACTTTCTCTACAGAAGATTTAAGTAGGACCATATCGAGAAGAACCAAACAACACTTTTCACTTTTGTGCCTTGCTCAGGGATATCCTGTACCAACATTTAGGTTGGTTACTACCCTAAAAAAAATATTAATTGTGGTTTTCTGAGTGGCTTATTGTTTTGGAGTGGCTTGTCATAAAATGGATAAGGGCGGTTTGAGAGATTTTTTTTAAATGGGGAACTGTGCATTTAATTATTGAGTTACAGATTTTGTGGATGAAGGTTCATTTTAT